AAACTGACAGGGGTGAAAAGACCATCCTCTTCATCCACTCTTTGCAATAATTGATAAATCATATATCTCAGTGCGTCATCTCGGAAAATTATGCATATTCTCCCTGTGTTTGGATGAGCGTATGATATGTGCAACAACACGAATGCGTTTACCAGTTTTTACCATGAGTAGATCCAAGGCCATGTTCAAAATCTGACAGGGAAATTTTGGGGATGCCATAGCAAGCATTTAGAGAAGTACTCCCAAGTTATGCTACAAGGTTTGATCAGGTTTGGTGCCAAGTCATATGAACCTCCTCAAAAATGTCAGGATTTGGTTCTAACCTAAAAACTAATATACCCGTTATTTTATGGTTTTATATTGATTCCCGAAGCTGTAAACCTAGTTAGTATTCTCTCCATAAATGAGTACCTATTTTTTTTATATTTTAGTGGGTCAGTTTGGTCGTGTCTTCCATGTCATATAACCAGGTGTCTACTCCAAGTTTAATTGAGGGGGGAAAAAAAAAGAATATTTTTTTGTTTCCGCGACGTATACTGTTGAAGAAACCTAATTATTGTGTTATCCAAATGCATGCTTATTTGATGATCGGTTAGTTGGACATTGATTCACGAGGTCAATTGCTTTGAGTCATTGTTATTGCCTTGGGTCGGCCAGATGTACGAGTTTGTAAGCGACATTTTGGTTATGGGCCCGCGGGCTATCGGCAAAAACAACGATTGCTAGACAAGTGTTTGACGTTAGATTTCTGTTCATTTTACGAGCCGATATGTTGTTGCAAAATGTTAAACAAGTAGATTAGGAACAAGCCGATGTTTTGTTGCAAATGTTAAGGAAAGATTAGAAAAATGCACATTGTGTGATGTAGTAGAAAAGGAAATTCTTTCTGATCTATTAGAAAATTCAAGTAATCATAGTACATTGTCTCTTTTCGATAGATGTAGGCTCTCAAGAAAAAAAGTTCTCATAGTTCTTGATGATGTGGTGGATTTAGTGCAGCAAGTAGAACTTTTAATCGGAAAGCATGCTGATTATGGTCAAGGGAGTAGAATAATTATGACAAGCAGAGATAGACAATTGCTTAAGATCTGTGGTGCCACAATATATGAAGTTGAGAAATTAAATAAAAGTGAAGCTCTCTGCCTGTTTTGCAAGCATTCCTTCAAGCAACAATTTCCAAGAACAGGATATGCCTTAAAGCAAAAATTTCCAAGAACAGGATATTTTGAGTTGTCCAATATGGCCATTGATCATGCTCAGGGCATTCCATTGGCTCTCAAAGTTTTAGGTTCCAATTTGTATGGCAAGAGTGAAGAAGTATGGGTAGATGAATTGGAACAATTAAAAGGTGTATTTGATGAAAAAATCAAGCATATATTGAGAATAAGTTATGATGGACTACGTGAGAATGAAAAGGAAATCTTTCTCGCTATTGCATGCATGTTTAAAGGAGAAGATCATGCCATGTTTAACAGGAGAAGCGATAAAACATCCGCGCTTGAAGAGTGTCTATTGGATGTCCCTGGGCTTCAAAATCTGTAGTAAGTCGTCTCGTGACTAGAGTTCTGCCTCATACACCATCACCATGAATCGACGCTGTATACTATGCATGACTTTGCACGCCAAATGCGCAAGATATTGTTCGCGAGCGAAAAATTCCAGTTTTGGTGAAGCGTTGGTGGCGCGTGGGATTCCCAAGGGGATGTATTATTGATTACCTGATGTCACAGAGCTTGAGGCAAGAATCACAAGAGCTGAGGCAAGAATCAATATATTTGAGTAATATTATTGTTATATATTTTGAGCTTTATAAAAACGTTACTACTTTTTAAGAAAAAACTTCAATTCTAATGACCTTTTGGATTTCTTTTTGCACTTATTTTGGCTGTTTGTTTTCAGGGGGCATATCATTGGACATGTCTACTGCCAGAGAGCTAAATTTAAAACCTACAGCCTTTGAGAAAATGTATAATCTTAAGTTTCTCAAGTTCCATGCTTCACTCAGTAAAATCAAAGTATACCTTCCTAAAGGCCTCAGTTTTCTGCCAGAAGACCAAGCAACGACGCTAAGGTTAACTCCACTGGTATTCCAAATTGCCCTTTTAAAATCTTTTGCCGCTGGGTTTCTTATGTAAGAGGAATCTGATCGAACTTCGCATGCGTGCAAGGCAACACTAAAAGACTTTGCAGGATCAGTAGGTATTTAGAATGCTTCTTCTGCAGGTGTAGTTTTTTTTGCGAACCTTAGATATATGATTTTATTTCTGTACACTTTCTTTTTCATCTGCAAGCAACTGGGAAAATTTTGAAATTCGTCGTCTCAGTTAACTCTAAGGAGCTAAATAAGAGATTTTCAGACTTGTCTAAAAGCGCAAACTTGGTTTTTAGATCTGAGTGTATGGTGAAAGTTTGGTGGAGTTTCCCTATCCAAAATATTGGATGTGGGCAGCTTACTCGATTGCAATCTAAACGAAGTTGCAATAGTGCTTTTGCACTTTTACCAAGCCGCCATGAATTTGGAAAAAGTCTCCCAGAAAATTTAGTGGTCCTTTGTTTTAAAACTTCCCGCAAGAGTTCTCCGATTGCCCGTTTGTAAACTTCAGAGGAGGTACATTTGCAACGAACTAGTGAATAGAAAGGTGCCCTCATCCAATTGGGTCTCTCTCTCGACCTTTCCCGTACTTATTACTTGAAGATTTCTGTACAATGCTTGAATGTCTCCCGGCACAGGCATTGCAATCTGAAGTCTTCTAATGTTCTTTATTCTCCGGCGGAGTGCTTAAATTCTAAAGAGATTGCCAGAAAAATCATAGGGAATTTGGAATCCTTCGTAACGAGCTTGGTCGATTGAAGGGCTACTCGTATCAAGAGGACTACCTTGTCTTCTGGTCAAATCTGTTTGAGACAATAGGAAAATAAGGCTAAGAATCTTGTGGCCTATCAGAATTTCCTAGCTGGCTCTTTGCCGCTTCGATTCAAACACTGGAAGAGTTAGTTATAGGTGGGAGGATAATTTCGAGGCCTACCTGATTGCATGGCAAACAACTATTCTAAAGCTGCGGTTATTTGCAGTTTTAGACAATGTAAGAGGACTAAAATATTTTACCAAGTGACTTCCATCTCTTCTCGAAATTATATGAAATATAACGGAGTTAATTGCAACTAGTCTGGGAAATCAGCATCCAGCTTATTTCCAACTAGACAACTTGTTACAATCTGCATTTGCATAATTGCTTTCACTTGGATTTGGTAATGTAATGAAATTTGTGGGATCATTTAATATGCCGCACCTCTGCCGAATGGAAGGCTATGCCTCTGTCTCCGCTCTTTCATCTGCTTATAGTATAATACCTTATACCATTAATTATCATGATTTATATATAGATATATACCATTAATTTCTGTTCTCTGTAGGTTTTATCAAAATAACTGCGATTTTCTTGGTACAGAAGATTTTTTACCCTGGGAATGAGCTGCCACAAAGGATGATGTATCAAAATAACTGTGGATATTCTGTGACTTTGTCTTCATCATCCAAACAACACGAGAGGGTGCAATTTGGTCTCTGCGTTGTTATAGATCCAAAGTTTTTGGACTCTGTTTGGCATGGTGTATTAAGTGTTGTTTACACAGTCGATATTTTCACGAACGAGACTGTGAAAGAACTAGATTATTTCCAGGTTAAGGAGTTTATACCTCGGCGTTATGAATTTTTTGGTCAACGGTCAAGCAATTGTTTGGTCCTTCATTCAGAACATGTGGTCTTTTGGAGTGAGAGAATTAAGGTCCCTTTAGATAACAGGAAGACAGTCTTTGAATTCTACGCTCTAGATGAGGAATTTCGTCGCAATTACAACGCGATTGTTAAGTATGGCGTCCATCCGATTGTTAAGTGTGGCGTCCATCCTCACCTTAGCTTTAGTAATGCGGTAGGTGAGGAGGACGAGGTTGAGGATGAAGAAAAGAGAAAGATGAAGAGGTTGAGGATGTTGTAGTCAGCGGTGGAATTAGGGGGAGCCGGCCAGCCCAAGTATTTTGCAGAGAAACTCCATCTGAGTGTTATTTCGGTACATAAAAACTTTCAATGAATTAAAAAAAGTATGGCTTGTAAATAAAACTTTGTTTATGAAATGAAAAATATTTAATAATATTATGAAAATTTTATTTTATTATGACCAATCAAAGCTATAGAATCATACTATTATAATTTTAAAACTTAACAAAATTATTGATACCATGTAAATACAGCATATATATATATTTAATGGAATACATGTACACTGTCAGACTACAACCAGGAGGAAGGGCAATATCCCCTTAAAAGAGTAGTTAGTGCCAAGTAATTCTTTCTTTTGTTACACTTATTTTTATAAAAGTATCAGGGTTGGTGTTCATCTACTTAATGTGGGCCCCACAAAGACAATTTTCATGTTTGATAATCAAAATTTCGCAGTCTCAAAGGGAAAGGTACTTTGCAAACACATGGTCTTGTTGATTTTAACAACCTTAATGTTGTTATAATATATGCCAAATTCTTGTTAACTTCAAGACATTAGACTTCGTTACTATATTTTCCAAAGTTACTTCCATATATATCAAAGAAACCCTTTTCCTTTCTCTTCCTTTCTCAAAGTATTCATATTTAAGTATCCTAGACAGGAATAAGGTTTTTTTTTTTCCTTTATTTTTTCAATAAAAACCAAATGGGTATAAATAATATTTTCATCTACACTATAAGAGAAAACACATACACTTAAAACTTATTACTAATTATATCATTTAAAGAATGTTAGAAGATCTATCAAGGCACATATGATTAGCGATAATATTCTTTTCCTTTTAAAGATATTAAGGTAGAAGATAATGTTTTTTTTTTTTTTTTTGCAAAAGATATTTTTTATTTTATTTCTATCTCAAATATTGAGTCCCTATAGCCTCTAAAAGTACAATTCCTTTAATCAAAGGAGGCAAAGAATTAAAAGAGGTAAAAGAAAAGAAAGTATAGTGAAGTCTACGATGAGTTGGCCAAAAAGATGTGCAGCTTTGATTTCCTTCACGACATATGTGATGAATGGAAGAAGAGTGAAGATGCAACCAAATTAGCAACACGCTGCAAGACCGAAGGACCTGCTCTAAATCACTGTGTCATTAAACATGTGTAACTTAGTTCCAGGCAATCCATTTCCACCCTGCGTATGGGATAAAAACCTTTATCAATACTCCAAGAAAGCCCCAAATCAAGCTTTTAAGCTCGGCATCATAAGCTGTCCTTTTGGCATCAATCGGGAAACAAGCGGCAACACAACAAAATTACCATGGCTGTTCGGAGGATAGCACCCCCGGATGCCTGAAAATTGTTGAAAGACCGCATTCAATATTCAGTTTATCAGCAATCTTGCCGAAGGCCGCAATCCAAGTAATAATCATTGGTTTTAATTTTTTGTTTGCCAAAAGAAGCCGAAATGAGATAATTTATAAATTAAATAGACTAATTAATTTAATTTCCCTTCACTACTATTGAATTTAGTAATTTTCTTTTTAAATAATGTAGTTCTCTAATAGCTTCCAATGAATATGCATAAATTTTTGAAAATCTTTGGTTTTCAAGTTTAGATTTTTAGATTGAGTGATTTATTAACAGAATCAGAAAAGCATAATTTGAAGTGGGAAAAAAAAAAAAAAAAAAAAAAAAGGAAAGGGAGGATAATATCACCCCTCTCATTTTGAATCCTAGGATGGAATAAGTTCCTTGATTGTATTCGGAAATTAAAGAAATGCTTGAATTTGGAATGGCCCATAAGGTTCATCAAAAATTAGCCAAATAATCCCTTTGGATTTAGGTATATTGCCAATTTTAGGTCTTGTGGTTAGAATTTTGTTATAATAAAATAAAAGCATAACACAAGAGATTATCTTTTCTATCAAAGCATCATCAAAAATATTGAAACTATAAACTATTGGATATCTCCAAGTGCAACCAAGAACAGTATTAAGATAAGTTGGTTTAAAATGACCCAATACAATTTCAAATCATATTTATTCCTTTATGCCAGAGTGCATAAAGGCTTTTGTTTTTTTTGGTAGCATTAGCCAATTTTAGGGTTTTCTAAACTTGGGAATGGGGCCCAAGAAGATGACATGACTCAGCGTTCCTCGGTGAATGGGATGTTGTTAAAATATTCCAAATTTACTTAAAAATTTTTAAATTTAAGAGCAAAGATGGTTAATAAATAATTCATTTTCTACACTATTTCCTAAAGGAATGATAATGGCGACTAAGACTAAGGCGTGCCACCAGAGGAGAAACCAACTTATTGGATTCTCATTGGCTGATGCGTGAGGTGTTGGACCCTGATTAAACTAGGAGTGTCTTCAAAAACTAATTGGTGGAGAAAAAAAAAAAAAAAAGAACAATTGTAGTTAACAAAATTATCTCTTTTATTCAATTCTTTAAATAATTAATATTCATTTAATAGGGATTACCATTGAGAAAAAGAAATTAAGTTAACCCAAAATATATATATATTATATTATATATATATATATATATATATATATAAAATGACCACTTGAAATTAATACTATATATATTTTTTAATTTAGACCCTTATGCTATTGACACTACATTGAATTGTGGACATGAAAAAATAAATTTTACCCATTCTTAAATGAGGAGGGATGAAGGAATAATTTAACTCGATTTTAAATTTAATTTTAAAATCAATTGAAACTGATTTGTAGAAATCCATTTCTTCTAATATATTTATACTCGATTAAATGTTTTGTGCGTCATTGCCAATTTATGTTTAAACGGCTAGCAATGATAAGATGTTGAAAGAACCATGGTGAATTTAAAAATTCACGAGAAGGTAATGTAATTGTCGCTTTTAATTTGGAAAACAAAATAATTAAAATAATTTTTATTTAGTAGGACTTGTACTCGAAGTTGCAATTACAATAATGCGAAATAATTATTTTCACAATTTGGTAAAGTTAAGGCGGAAGACCACCTTTCTGTTGGTAGCGTAGTTTATTTCGGTCCATAAAGACCTCTAATGAATTAAAAAAAATATGGCTTGTAAATAAAACTTTGTTTATGAAATGAAAAGTATTTAATTAAAATATTCTGAAAACTTTTATTTTATTATGACCAATCAAAGCTATAGAATGCTACTATTATAAGTTTTTAAAACTTAACAAAATTATTGATGACCATGTGAATTATCGCATATAAGATTAATGGAATTCATGTACACTGTCAGACCTAACAACAGTGGGAAGGGCACTTCCCTTAAAGGACTAAGTTAGTGCATGTGTTTGGCCTTAAGATCTCAACCAGCAATTGACGAAAGAAGAGGAATTGATTCAGTGGAAAAGTAGTTTCAATAGTAGCAAGAGGCAACAAAAAAAGGAAGAAAGAGGAACACACCTAAGACAGCATCAACAAAAATACTACGTAAAACATCTATGTTTCAGAATGTTTCCTCCACGCAAACTTTCGGGCCATTTTCTGTAAATTGAATAACTTGAAAACGCGTTTCGAGGCCATTCTGTTAAAATAATAACTTGGAAACGCGTTTTCCGCTCTCGCAAATATTATTTTCCATAAACTCAAAAGCTCATTTCTAATTAAAAAATACATAAAAAAAATTCAGATTCATAAATGCATGTATTTTTTAGAGTACGAAAAACTTTATCTTTTGGATACCATTAAATATGATTGGACTTGACTTGTTATGAATATATTAATGGTTTATAATTAATTTATTTTTGTGTTTTATAAATAAAACCCTTATAACTTTTTCATATTTTACACAATTTCCCCCAACGTTTCCGTTTTCTATATTTTTTAAAAATACCATTCCCCGTGTTCATTTCCGCGTTTTCCCACGTTTCCACGCTTCCACGTTTCGGTTCTGTGCAACATAGTATAACATTCTTATTCTAGTTTAAATTTCAACCAGGAAAAAATTTAAAAAATAAAAAAACAACACACCCGTTGAAAATTCCTAAAAAAAGAAAATCAACAGCTCCTGTTACATCTCATTTCCTCCAATATATTCAACTAATCAATTTGCTGAAGATATCCATTCTTCTTGATTTTAATTTTGGATGTCCTCAGTATATTAACATTTCAATTCCAAAATTACTTTTTAGAAATCTAAATTTCACAAGCAAAGCTTATCAACCTTTCATTCAGCATCATTCCCACCATTCCTCCATCAGTCTGTTCAAAAAAATAAGAGTGGAAAAAAAACCACATCTCAAACCAGAGAAGTATGAGCCTGTCTCATGCGATAAGAATTTATCAAACACATCAAATAGTTAACTCCAAAGCATCCTCCAAATCACTAACACAGAAAAAAAAATTCCATTTATGTTGGAGAAAAGTGAAGGGGGCGGGGGGGCTCATTGGGAATTAACCAAGTAAATGAGCATCAAATGTAGGAATTCCTCAAAAGCATACTTCCTTAGGCAACTTACCAAATCCTTAACACTACCAAAGTAAACTTCAGACTCCAGAGGTTTCTCACAAAATACCAAATTCAGATTGAACTCACTCAAGCACCACCTTCAGGCAAGCATAATTCAACATTACATAGAAGACAATCTGAGACAAGGAAGAGAGAGAGGAGAGAGAGAGAGGGGGGGCAGGCGAGGAGGATGTCTATTGCTAGGACCAAGTTGTTGAAAGAATTTCTGTTCATTTTACAAGCGATGTTTTGTTGCAAAATTGTTAAGAAAGATTAGAAAAATGCACATCGTGTGTTGTAGAAAAGGAAAATTCGTTTGTGATCTTATTAGGGGCAGAAAATTCAAGTAATCATAAGTACATTTGTCTCGTTTTGGATAGACTTAGGCTATCAAAAAGTTCTCATAGTTCTTGATGATGTGGATGATTTAGAAGCGGCAAGTAAGAACCTTTAATCGGAAAAGCATGCTGGATTAATTGGTCAAGGGAAGTAGAATAATTATGACAAGCAGAGAAGACAATTGCTTAAGAACCGTGGTGCCCACAATATGAAGTGAGAAATTAAATAAAAGTGAAGCTCTCTGCCTGTTTTGCAAGCATGCCTTTCAAAAGCAACCAATTAAAC